TGATAACATCACTATGATATATACACCCTTAGCTCTGAACACCCTCCCTTTAGCTCATTCTTAGAATACACTACTATCTTCCACCTTTAGCTTCTGAACTAAACTCACCTACTATAAGCTTTACTGAACCCCCCCTATAGTTCTGAAACATCACCCCGTACCTTTAGATGTGCTGTGTCGTTGGTGAATGTGCTGTGTGGTGCTCGGTGTCGCGCTGTTGATGTCTGTGTGTGATAGACATCCGTCCGTTAGTCTTCTGATGTCGACTCGCTGTGTGTCGCCGCTCTTAGCTTCCGAATAAAGTCTCGCCTGTGTCCCGTCTGTGATAGCTGTCTGGAGATAAGTCACCGCCCATGTGTGTGCGTTGTTGTGATAGAGTGCTACACCCCGACCTTAGCTCATCTCTAGAACACACCTACCTATAAGCTTCGTGAATTAACAACACTCCCCTTAGCTTCTGAACTCCCTGTAGCTCTGTGTGATGTCACACTCCGTCGTCGCTCCTAGAAAGCTCTTCTGACAATACACGACTCCCCTTCTAGCTTTCTGTAACTCACCACCCCTTAGCTTCTGACACCCCCCCCTTTAGCTTCTGATATCCCCTTCCACTTAGAGCTTTCTAGAAACACACCCTTATGCATTTCATGATATCTAATCACCCCTTAGCTTCTGAACACACGATACCCCTAGGATAGCATTATGTATACGATAGGATACACTATAAGCATTCATGAAAACCTATCACCTTAGCTTCTGAAACACCTCCTTGAGCCATTCTGAAAACACGCAGAGTATCCTATAGCTTCTCCTGAACCACACTCCCTTTAGCTTCTGAACAACCTTTATCCCTCATGCTTCTGAAAGCACCTCCTTAGCTTCTGAAGAGACGCAACGGCCTTTCAATTCCGATTACTCTGACATCCCGATGAGCTACTCAGTAAATCACCTTATCGCTTCCTCTTGCCTGAGAAGCACCTCCTTAGCTTCTGAACATGCTCGATTAGCATTCTTGAACTCTCTCTTAGTTGTTGCCAGCTGCCGCTCCTCTTATATTAGCTTCTTGATAAGTCCTGTTACCATAGATTTCTGAACCTTCTCCCTTAGCTTCTGAACTCGCCTCCTATTAGTCTTCTGAAATCTTCTCTGCACCTGTTTACGACTTCTGAAAACTCCTCCCTTAGATCTCGAAACTTCCTCCTTAGCTTCTGAACTGATCGCCTTAGCTTCTGAAATGCCCTGGAGAAAACTAGCTTCGAAACTCCCCTTAGTCTTTCTGATTCTCTCTCGCTCCCTTAGCTACTGAACGTCCTTCCTTTTCATAGGCGTCTGTTAACACTCTCATCTCCTTAAGTCTTCTGAACTCCTCCGCTATTAGCATAACTATGCAACTCCTTTTCCACTTAGCTTGCTAAGAACTCCTGCCTCTTACTTCTGAACTCCTCCCTTAGACTTCTGAACTCCTCCCTTAGCTTCTGAACTCCTCCTTAGCTTCTGAACTCCTCCCTTAGCTTCTGAACTCCTCCTTTGCTTCTGTCTCCCAGCTCTGTCCTCTGTTTCCAATCGGCCGAGTGTGTCAGTTATCAGCCCAAAGTTATCACCGTTAGTCATGATCTTTTTTTAAACAGCTATGAGTCTCTGCTAAAGATAAATTTGATGATATACAAGAAGTGGTAAAAAGCAATTTATGGTAAATTTAACATTAAAATTACAATAACTTTATTCATATTCATATACATAAGTTTTTAAAAAGTGTATTCAATTGAGGAGCCACAGTGCCGACCCGAAAAGAAAGACGGTAACGAAGACGATGATTGGGAGAGGGGAAAGAAGGAAGAACTCGGCAACGTGAAGAGACAAAGAAAGGCAGCGAGTTGGGTGAGTGGGGTGAGGCTGGGCTGGGAGGGGACGGGTGGGGGGTGTGAGTGTGTGAGAGAGCTGTGGTGTGTGGGAGAGAGAGGAGAGGAGAGGGAGGGGAGAGGGGGAGGGATGTATGATATATATATATATATATATAATATATATATTATATATTATATATATATTATATATATATATTATATATATGACGATGCGGAGAGAAGAAAGGGAGAAGAAAGATTTGAGAGGTGGTAATGTTTGGTGTTTAAGTGTGGTGCTTAAGTGTGGGAGGATGAGAAGCAAGTATGGGCCGCGGTGAGAGCCGTGTTAAATAATATAGTGAAGATGCATTATGCGTGGATTAACGTCCTGCAACGGCGAGAGTGAGAGTCTGGGGTGGGGGGGGGGGTCTGTACAAGCGCCGGGTTTATACCTTTGATATAGATAGTGTGTGTAGCCTGCCCCCCCCCTCTCCTCGTCTCTCTCTCTCTCGTCTCTCTCTTCTCTCTCTCCTCTCTCTCTCTCTTCTCTCTCTTCTCTCTCTCTCTCTCTCGTGTGTTGTGTGTTGTGTGTGTGTTGTGTGTGTGGTGTGTGTGTGTGTGTGTGTGTGTGTGTGTGTGTGTGTGTGTGTGTGTGTGTGTGTGTGTTTTTTGAGTGTGTATGTGTGTTTTTTAGTGTGTATGTATGTTTTTGAGTGTGTATGTATGTTTTTGAGTGTGTTGGAGCAAAACAGTTGGACGTGCATTAAGGATGTGAGTGAAGGGTAAGCGGACAAACAAGCCAGTAGTGATTCATGCCTCTCGGTGACTTTTTTTTTATTTATTGTTTCCTTTTACTTTCCCCTTGGTAGTAGGCACATCTTGGCATCAAATTACATGTTATAAACACTACAACTCCATCTCTTGGGATTAGCGTTGCGCTTGATAACGACAGCAGTCTTTTTTTTTTAGTTTTTTTACTTGACTAAATTTCCCACGAGACTGTGGGAAACTCCAAATAAAACTACACTACCCCCGAACTTCATCTGTGGCGAGTGTGTTTATTGCTTAGACTTGAGTTCAGTTCTGCACTTCGTTACTCTGGATAGATACACAGCGGGTATTTCTGCGAAGGCGTGAACCCAAAAAAGAATGACTCAATATTTGGTTGATCAGGATCCCCCCTTAATCCTCCGGCCGTCCCTCTGATACCAAGGAATGGGGGGAATGTAGACGGAGCGCACAAAGCATTCTAATGGCTTTGCAAGTAGAACATTTCCCCATATTTTGTGCATCTGAAGCTACCTTTGGCGACAGCTGCATCTGCCTTCACGGACGTACATAGAGAAAGGAACCAGTACATGGAGGCCGGTACCGAGCCAGGCAGCCAGGAGTCGTGACAAGACCATGTTGACCCGTTATGGCCAGCCTCATCAACCGCCAACGAGGCTGGTGGCAGCCTCTTCCTCCCCCTGCCTCCTGCCTCCTCCATGCTCCTCCTCACCTCTCCTCCTGCTCCTCCTCCCTCCTCACTTCCCCTCCTCCTCCTCCCCCCTCCTCCTCCCCCCTCCTCCTCCTCTTCCTCCTCCCTCTTTCCTCTCCTTGCTCCTCCTCCTCCTCCTCCTCTCTCCTCCTCCTCCCTCCTCCCTCCTCCTCTCTCCTCCCCCTCCCCCTCCTCCCCTCCTCTCCCCTCTCCTCCTCCCCTCTCCTCCTCCCCTCCCCTCCTCTTCCCTCCTCCCCTCCCCCTCTTCCCTCCTCCCCTCCCCCTCCTCTCCCTCCTCCCTCCCCTCCTCTTCCTCCTCCCCTTCCTCCCCTCTCCCTCCCCCTCCTCTTCCTCCTCCCCTCCCCCTCTCCTCCTTCCCTCCTCCTTCCTCCCCCTCCCTCCCCCTCCTCTTCCTCCTCCCTCCCCTCCTCTTCCTCCACCCTTCCCTCCCCCCCCCTCCCTCCTCCCCCTCCCTCCTCCCCTCCCTCCTCCTCCCCCTCCTTTCCCCCCCTCCCTCCTTCCCCCCCCCCCCTCCCCGTTCATTGCATGAGACCGTCGCTTGCGAGAGCTTACGAGTCCATTACTCGAGGCAGCAGATTAGTGCCGGTATTATGAGCTGTGTGAACTTTGATTGACCTTTTGTGGGCTCTCCGGTTAGCACAATCAGTGTTAGATTGGGCTAAGGAGCCGCTGCTAACAGGGTCGTGACTATGGGAGTTCGTGTATCTGTGGCATGTCAGCGGATGGCTTTACTGTTGGTGCGTTTTAGATTAATAACTTTACTTAAAGGCTCCCTCTCCGAGCATCCAAGTCTAGGTATTCCTTTGAGGTCGTAAATGTCCTATGACTTTTTTTCTACAAAAATCCTCCTTGACGAGCCACAAACTTTTGGCGTCAATTACCAACGTCACCACTTACGCGTGCCCGTACAATAAACCCCCTCGTTAACCCCTCCCCCCTTCTTCCCTTTCCAAGACGAATTATATGAACAACCGCTTTGCGTTTTTCTCATGCGCAACTACATGGCAACTTCCCTACTGTTGTTGTTGATAACTCTATAGCCTTAAGACCATAGCCTGTGGCACCACGCCCCACGGTCAGTAGGCGATTTGCTCTGCTTGCTCCATATCCATTACGCTCGTGGCCAAAGCTAACAAAATGAGCAGTGCTGTATGGGCGGTTTCTACCATGTTTTACATAATCGTTACGTCTGGTTTAGGTTTGCGCATTTGCTGTGGAGTTGATGATAAAAACAATGAGGAATTAATGAAGGGGTATGTATAACGTTATCAGATAAAGGTACTCGAGTTTTCTTATCCGAAAACCTGATATGCGGGCTGCTTTTTATGTATGATTTTCTCATGCACATTGGGTGCTCTTTTCGTTAGTGCGTGTCAGTTTGAAGGAGTTTGTGTGCGATTGTGTGTGGAAGGACTCGTTATTATGTTGGGAAATTCTATTATGTTATCTGTATGATTTGGGGTTCGAGAAAGACGACAGTAATAGAGATTATTTGTTCATGTTCAAAATGTCCCTGAAAGGCGCAGTAATTCTGGATAAAATTACGTGACTTTGATGAATCTCTGCTGTGTCTTTTTGCCTCTTTCCCATGTATCTTCGAGATCATGAAGTAAGCCGTTTGCTCTGAATGTAATTCGTAGGGTGGCGTTCTAGACCTTTGCATCCAGTCCGACTACCTGTGTGCCAGTTTCCGGGAGCCGTCTGTAAATACGGATGGGCATGGTATCCTCCGGGTCGTTAGCATCACCTTTGAACAGCCCACGCACTAGTTCATGACTATTTGATGGCACGGATATTTACACGCAGGCAAAGCCGTTGAAAAGAGACAAAAGCAAGGATAGTGTGACTTCGTCGTAGGAACCTAAGAGCAAGAGAGAGAGGGGGGAGTGGAAAGTGGGAGCCATAGAGGATGATGTATGTGTACTGCCCTCTTGTGACGTAACACGCAAGTATGTATATTTTTTGTTTATTTTTTTGCAGGGCAGATCTGCTGGAGGTGGGGGGCACTGGCTGGGATAGATCTAGGCGAGTGTAGGTTGCTACATCGTGTCATTTGAATCGTAAAATTGATGCGCAGGTCGTGATTCCCGGCACGTACCGGCGTGTGGGCAAGGCATTTGTTTTTGTTTGCCTTCGTAGGCACATGCATGACCGGAAACCGCGTCACCGGAAATGACGGCGATGTTGAAAGTCGACGACAAGGAGTATTAGGGAGGAGAGTTCAGCGGAATAGTATTAGGTTTTATGATATTATAGGCTTGTATTCGCAGTGTGATATCTATAAAAAAAATAGACTTTGACGTGCGTGTGAGCTCTAAAGATGATGTAGCCGTGCAAGAGTGTGCCACGCGTGTTCTTAAGGGGATTTGGCAAAAGACTGTGATTTCATGTGAGAGCAGTTTTGAGAAATTTAAAAAGCTGTGCCGTCTGCTGTGACGGTTCATTGTTTGGTGTTCGTAAACTGGCCAGGAAATGTCTATTTAGTTGATAATTTCTTTCACTAAGAGGATTAAAAACGTATGTATCCGAAGGGAAATTAAGTAATATTGTTGAATTGTGAAATCGTTGATGACCTTTGATGAATATTAATAAAAAGTAAGACGTGAAAATGTATCACTTCAGATGATGAATTCAGCCAGAAGCCGTGCTTTGTATTTTAGGCGTATGAAACAAATTAATGTAGATCTTGCCAGCTCTTTTCTCCAGGCGTTCATTTCACGCATCTTTTTACATTCTGGGAAGATGACTAAATGGCAGTTCGTCTTAGTGCGAGTGAATGTGACCTATAGGATGGAATGTGTGAGTAATACGCGTTGTGAGGGTGTCGCTTCCTGTCTCTGGCTCATGAATGGACCGCCTCACACCCGTGACTACTACGGCCGCTTATAGTAGTCGTTTGTTTGTTTTTATTCCTTTTTAGAAGTAAGATTGAGATCTCGAGTAAAATAATTGACAGTGAAAGAACTCCTCTTTTTATGAACAGCAGTCGTTATCCTTCTCCTCCCCTCGCCCCTCCTCGCCCCCCTCCATCCCCACATATGCATTTTCCGAATTGCATTGGAAGGGAAGCGTTGCATAAGGCGCCGTGCAATGTTGCTAAGGTAGACTATTCCAATTTAGGTGAGTAGGTCAAGTTGGCAGCTTGTTTCGATTGGCGTTAATTTGATCTGATCCGACTGATTGGTCTGGCGGAGTGGGGTGGTGGGGAAGGGTAGGGGGAGTGAAAGGGGAAGGTCGCGTATTGAATCACTATGGGATAATTAGGGTTCCATTAAGAGTTACATTACTCTCGATCGGCAGTGGTTGTTTAGTAATAAGGGTGGGATTGATATGTTGGTGAGTGGGCTTGGGATTAGCTCGTCAGATTTACGGTGATTGGAGTCCGTTATAAAGGCTCGTTCGAAAGGTACTTGATTAAGGGGACGGAGGGAGGGGGGGGGATCGTATCTTCGTCTCGGGCCTGGGGAAGGTGGAAGAAAAGCGCGGTCGATCACGTAAGAGTTTTAAGAGGGATGGCCAGTATTCGCCGGGAAAGAAGTGACGGGGTGGGGAAAAAGTCCGTGGCATGGGGAAAAAAGTCCAGTGGCATTTTTCTATGGCTCGAACTTCTACGACGCCCCCGGATTGAATCGTGAAGCTGCCGTCGATGGGTTTGGACCGAGGCCAGGACCGAAGTCGGGACCGGGGCGCCGCGGCCAGAAGCGACTGTAAAAACCGGAATTCGGAAAAGAGGATTTTTTCAAGACCTATGAACGGAATTTATATTTGATTTATTAGTCTCCGAGGATGGGCCATATAAAGCTAAGGTGTAGGGGGGTGTAGCAGTGATGGGAGGGTGGGGGAGGGGTATGGGTTTCGTAGTGTGTAGTAAAAGTCCTTGGATACGCTCTTCGGAAATTGCTTCAGGTTGGAGGTGTGTCTCGACGGGTGTGTAATAGTAGTGGGAAGGGTTGAAGGGGGGGAGGGGTGGTGGTGCTGACATTGAGGGGGTGAGGGTGTTGGTATATAGAGGGAGGAGGACAAAGAGTCTTGTTTTGAATGTCGTTGTTCGTTGGAAATATTTCCTTACTGTTATGAGGTTTGATTTGAGGCGTCAGGGGTTCGCTCTTGTTTGTAAGGCTGGTTTTGGCATAGTCGAGTTGATGTTCTGTACATTCTAATGCAGAGTAATATGTGATACTTGGTGATATAGACTGTTGTGTAGTTTTCTTTCATTAACGCGAGGCAGGAAATGTATCTCTGTTTCTGATTTTCAAGCCGTGAGTTTACAGACGTTGAAAGGATTTCCAAGATTTTTCCAGTGTAGATAAGATGTAACGCCAGAGCCTGGCCCGGCTTGGCACCGTCTCAGATTACGTCTCCCGTTACCCGGCTGTTACGTGCATCGCCACCTCACCACGCCACGATTGTGACACTGCGCGCGTCCTGAAGGGCCTCTAAAGTCGTAGTGACAGACCCTCCCTTTCTTTGGGACGCGGGATTTCTGTTCCTTTGCTCGAAGAAAGCTTTTACCGGGGTTGAGAGGGAAGGCGCCACATTAGAATTTCACCGGAGATTGCGCACCCGGGCAAACTGACTTTGTTTTAATGATATAACAAAAGCCGCTTTACGAACGCAAGCAGACCGCAGTACACGTTGGCAGGGCGAACGCGCTCCGCTGTCCGCGTTCACGCCCTGACAGGAAAGCGTGTGTAACAAATGTCACGTAACTAATGAACTTCCTGTGCCCGTACTGGGAAACGCGCGGTGACGCAAACCTTTGATTTCCTTTTTTTATTGTTTAACGTAATGAAATGAACTCTTTATGGTGGTTGGTCTTCTATCCATGCGTGTCTCTCTTGCGCATGTGTATGCTTAAGCTTAATCTTGATGGCATGCGTTTTATTGTCTTTGTGTTTCTGTTGTCTTTGTGCGTTTTAATTAACGTACAGACACTGAGGGATTTTATTGATATTTTTTCAGTATGTTATAACCAGATGAACATGGAACCGCCTTTTTGTGTGAGTTAGGAGGGGAGGAGATAGACAGTACATTCACTCAAAAGCTATTTTTTACAAATTTCTTCAGATGAAATGTGTAAATTGTCCATTTCGTTCATACAAACTTTGGAGCGAACTGGTTTGTGTAATTCGTGTTGAAATTTCTACGTCGTTCGTCCAGCCTCGCATGGCGTCTCATGAGAGACGTAGCTAGTAAAGCTTTATAATGCTTTAAAGAGACATTTCTCTTTATACGAATCATACGGGGTGAGTAAAGAGCCGCCACGGCCGTTGTGTGGCCGAATTCAAATTCTTGTAGCCTTTCTCGTCGCCTTAAAAGGGACCCTCGGCCGAGCGCTCCCCGCCTCGCTCCGCATTCCGGAAATGGCATCGGCCGTCATTCCACCTCACGGAATGCTCATCCACATGCTTCTCGGAACATCCACCCACCTGGCGACACTTCCCGCCGGGTTTATGGGGGTACGCCCAGCAACCTGCCGAGGGAGGCTGGCGTAGGCGTGGATGGAGGTAGGCTTTGACTCGTGTCGTCGGCGTCCAGGGTGTCGAAAGGATTAATAGCTGGCGCCTGTGAGTGTGTTCGAACGTGGCGCGGGGAAGGGATGGAGGCGGTCGGCGCCAGTGCTGAGGGGGCACGGGTAGGCCTAGAACCCGAGGTGGGGGGCGGGGTGGTAATTATGACAGAACAGCCCTTTTAGGAGGGGCAACGAGCGGCTGTGATTTTATTTGTGATAGGCGAGATACCAAGTTTGTTATGCTTCTTAAAATCCTATATTTACTGGATATCTGCTCCATGTGTCAAGGCCAAGGGAATGGTTTCCTTGCCCCCTTGTGTTGCTTGCTTGATTTGCATGGTCATCCCGTGTGACTGATTAGCCAATTTGCTTTTTTGCGAAACCCATTTGATGTTGGTCACTTCCATTAATTTCAGTAGGATTGATCATTTCAATCATTGATCCGCTCTTTATATTTTCCATTTGTCTCCGTCCTACGCACCTTGCAATAACCGTCCGTGGCACACATCCTTATATAGAAGGACTACCTGACACTGTTATCGCCCGCGCTATGTCGTTATCTCGATCCCGCATCCTACACAGCGGCGCGAGAAGCGAGTGTGGGGGCGCTTCTGCTCGTAATGGAGACCGAGGCAGTCGGGTCATAAGGGAGATAATGGATGATCAAGGGCATGGCGACAGCTGACATGGGCGAGGATGGATTTAGATAAGGATTGATTGCACTTCGATCGGGCCGTCGCGACGTGGTGCTCGGTTACAGTAGAAGGCCGATCATATTTGGAATTTCCTTATCGCAGTTTCCGTTTTTTTTTTGTCCAAACGCTCGAGATACGGGAGCTGCTGGCAGTGGAAGGGGGGGTGTCAGTGTAATTTTAATGGGGCCAAGGAACACGACACCGGAAGTGCCTGGGGTCGTAGTAGAGTGTGTGTGTGACCCCCGAGGCTGAGCGAACGGGGACAAGGAGGGAGGGCGATCACGCGTCTGGTGCGGGCGAGTGGCACTCTTGTCCGCCGTCTGTGCCTCGTTGATTATCTGCGGAGGAGGGGGAGGGGGTGTCGCCCTTGCTCGTATTCTTGATGTGGCTGTCGGCTATTATTTGTTACTCGTCACTGAGAGGGTCTTTGTATTTCTTCTTTTCCTGGTAAGGCTCGGATGGCCGCGCCCTCGAATTTGAGCTGCGGATAATAACGAATTTTCCGGGAATGTTATGATGTCAGCTGTATTTCGATGCAGTTGAATCCTTGACACAGGCCGCAGTATGGGAGTATGCTTCCACTGCCACATGAAACACGTTAGGGAATATGGTGGTGGTGGTGGGTAGGCCTACATTCTCGTAGTGGCTCGCGTACGAAACTCGACCCAAAAGGGGAGCGCCAGAGTGACTCCTTCTGCGAACAAGAGATCAGCAGAGGACAGATGTGCGTCGGATAGCTCTC